TACAGACAGACCGAGAAAAAGGCAACGCACTTCAATTCGATTCACGCACACAAAAGTTATTCGAAGCGAGGGGGCGCCAAGGCGTTGTGGATAAGAGGGATGGGGAGGGGGTAGCGAGCCTATGGGCTATCTGGCAAAGGCTTTCCACGAATTTTTCGACCACTTCCGTTGGCCACCCAGTTGCTGGTTAACAGTACGCTTACAGCTTTTCCTCTTTCTCGCTCGCTCCTTCGCTCGCTTGCTGCTAATTCGCATTAATCATACGCCGCGTTGTGCACAGCATTTATTTATTTTATTTTTGCAGCGCGCCGCATTGAAACATGAAAATGAAATTCAGACAAAACAACAGCAGCAACAACAACAACAATAGCAACAATAACAGCAGCCGCAAAGCTTTTTCACATTTTTATTTTTACACGCAAATTTACTGACTGTCGACGTCAACTTTTGCCGTTTTACTCACAGTCGCTGTCAGCGCTCTTAGCGTCGCAGTCGACGTCGCGGCCAGAGTCGCTGTCGCCGTCGCCGTTGCCGTTGCTGTTGCTGTTGCTTATTTTAATGTGTCAAGGTTCGCGGCATCATATTTTGCGCTTTATTTCAATGCGCTTCAAGCGTGTACAACATTATTTTAGTCTCCCCCGATAGTAACATGGAAATGGAGAGAGTGTGAGAAAGAGAGAGAGAGAGAGAGAGCGAGAGTAACAGATAACTCCCTTGCATATTACAAGCTGTAGACTTTCTTCCAAGCAAAACAATCTTAAAAATGTACACAGAGAAAAACAAGGCATAGTTGAATAAAATAAAATTAAATTAAAAATAAATTAAATTCTATTGAACTTTGGTCTATTTATAGACAGTAATACTAAGATTATTCCGGTCAAGTATAGAAATTATATCAAATTAGCTGTAAATCTGCACATTAATCAATCTTCGCTTGAAAATCGTTTTCATCTTGATTATCTATCTTATCTGCTAGGTATTTTAGGAAGATAGCTATTCGCAAATAAATTACTTTCTTGAATCTTACCTAAGTTACAGCTTTTTAACTTTTGACTTTGAGAGCATTAAAAAGGGGTTTTCGGGGGGTCAACATGAAGTAGAAGAAGAAGATGAAAATGACAAAGACGTATCGATAAATGTAAATGCAGCGCTGTATAGAAGACAGGCAGACGAGGTTGAGGGAAGTGGCATAAAATGGAAGACAGCAGCAGTGTGAAACGAATGGGCTTGTAGGTGAGCTGTGAAAGTGTGTAAGAGATAGCGAGAACGAGTGAGAGAGAGAGGGAGGGAGGCAGGTAGAGGCTGTTGGCGAGGGAGAGCGAGCGGAAGGGCGAGGGTAAACCAATGAGCGAGCGAGTGAGCAAAACATTTTTATTACCGCAACGGAGTCGTAAAAAACTAAATTACTTTTAAGTTTGTAAATTGTGCGAGTGGCTTTAACGCTCTAAACGGGCCTTCCATTGGACCTGTCGCTCACTCTCTGTGTGTATATGTGTATGTATGTATGTGTGTGTGTGTAACACAAGTTTAATATTATGGCAAGCTATGCGGCCCCTCTCTCTCCACCTCCGGCATCTTCCCTCTCAAGAGTTTTGCATTCTTTGTGTCACGTTTCCATTGAGAGATGCCCGCAAAGCTAACTGCACAGGAGATGAGAAAGCTGAGCCCCAGAGCGAACAGGTGGCCACTGCTCATTGGCTAGATACCCTATAAAAAGTTATTTCTATAAAAAGTGAATTAACTAATGAAACCAGACATAATACTACAAATATACATATGTCTGCTTGTGCTAAAGTAAAAAAGTAAACTAGGCAGATCAACAAATCGATACATCAAAATTGATTGCGAGAAAATAATTGTCATGACAGTAATATTCTAGCTCATAGAACTAATTCAAATTCTAATTCCTAATCAATACATAGTATAGAAGACCAAGAGGTATATCTGCAATATTCACCCTTTAATGGGTATTTATGTAGTCTAGAAGACACTGTCTATAGAGCTGCATGGCGAGTGGAAGAGGGAGTGGGAGTGGGAACTATTTTCCTCCCAGTAAGAAAAACAAATTTATGAAACGGCATTTATTCATAATGAGCCGAGCGAATGGGGAAAAGTGTTTGGCGCGTGGATCGGTTCACTCGATTCACTCGGTTTTTATGGCCACGACGGACACCGAGAAGATTGCGAGTGCCCAGCCAGCGGCCATATTGAGTGTGAGTGGCTGTGAATGTGTTTGTGTATGTGTGCGTGCGAGAGTATTTGTGTGTCGTAAAGTTATTAACTAGTGCTGCGACTGTTTGGATTAGGGAAAGTGCTTGAGTATGCCGAGGGAGAGAGAAATACGCATAAAGTTTATGTGAATCATTTTATTATGAATATGAATATGAGGAGCATAGAGTATCGAGTATTCAATTGCTTTTGTCCGCTCAATTTGAGGCAAGTTGCTTCGTAGAAGCGATAACATTGATTAAACACTCATGAGTGTTTATGTGAATACATTTATGATTAGGAATTGAATCTCGAAGTGTTTTATGCTCTACTTAAATGCCTGTGCCTAGGTATAGAACACTCATGAATGCATTTATTCAGTTGTGCGAATGCGGTCATTCGGTTTCATATTCGATTACCGAATACTCTTCTATATTTAAAAACACCTACTATATTCTGTACCCACTTAAAGGTGTAATCACACACAAATACACACACACACACACCCACATGTTCTCCAAATAACTGCTCCCAGTGCTTGCGACGTAATCCCGTGTCAGTTTACCGTTCAATCCATTTCGCAACTTCCCCCATTACGTACAAATGCATATACACTTGTATATACTTACCTACGTATGTATGGCTGTGTGTGTGTGTGTGTGCTCTTCTTCTGCTACTGCGCTGCCTTTTGACAAAGCGTATGCTCGCACATACATACATATAAATGTGTATGTACGCATGCATATAAAGAAACAACAACGAGCCGAGCAGAACAAGAAGAAAAAGAAACCAACCCACTGGCTTTGGCTTTGTCCAGCCGCAACACGCCGCGCACACCTCTTGCTCGACCCTTGGTCTTTGCTGCGCCTATGCGCTGCTATTTTGTATACATTTTGCATTAATTAAAAACAAAATAAATAGCAAAAGTCGCGCGCGCGGTCTGCCGATTCGATCCAAGCTGAGCCGAGCCGAACTGCAGCCGAGTCAGGCCGAACCGATCCGATCGGATGCGTGTTGAGTGTCCAACACGAAGCGACATGAGAAAAACAGAAAAGCAAACACATTTTGATTTAAATGTGATTGTTTTTTTCTCTCTCTCTCTCATTTTGTATTTGTTGCTTTTCATTCTTGAGCACAGGGAAAGAGCAGCAGCAAAACAAAACAAAAGCTGCGACGACGACGACGACGGCGACGGCGACGGCGACGCGTCGTTTACCACCCGCTCTCGCCAGCGCACTCGTTGCTTGCTTCTTGCTCTGCTGCTCTCACACTCTGGCTGCAGTTGTGCGCGGCTCTGCCGTCGGCGACGTCGCTGCTGATTAGAAGTGTCTTTTCAGTGTTTTGAATATTTTCTTTGTTGTTGCTGTATTTGGCTTTAAGTATGTATGTATTTGTTGTTGCCGTTGTCTTTGCGCACTTGCGATTTTGTGTTCATTCTGTTCGCTTTTGTCTTTTGTATGTTTTTCAATAAATTTTTGTGCACGTCTTTCAACGAATTTCTTTTGATTATTTTTGTCAAGTCAGCGCATATTGCGCTCGCCTTTTGTTGCTATTCACGTTGAACTTTTGTGGAGTGTTTTAATCGAATTGTCGCTTTTCTGCTGCAGCTGCCTAATCGAATTCCAATCAAAAGAAAACCAAGTGAAAACAATTTGAGAAAATCAAAATCCAAATCAAATAAACTAAAAAACAAAAATAAAAACACAAACACAAACAAAATCAAAAGCCAAATGCGCCCACGCAACAAACGCAACAAAATGCACAACTGTCGACGCTTGGCAACACTGTCGACATTTTACAACACTACTGGACGACAGCGTCAATTTCACCAAGTCTTAACTGTATGCTAAACACCTCCTATAAGTGACCAACAACAGTTATCTCTCAATACAAAGACTTCCAAACTAAAACTCAGCCTAACCTCAATTCTCGCTGTATAACTGTATCTGTATACAATAAACTTTGCCTAATCGCGCATTATAACTAAAAACTATATCTATGAATATTTGGGTAAGCACTTAATCTAATTATATTTACATATTTTCTACATTACGTTAGCTTATTATAATATTTTGTACAATGTACTTAGATAGTACTTATCCTTTGATTTGATAGTATTATTCCTTACTGATTGATTGGCTAATTGACTGACTGACTGATGGGCAGGGCGTATGATTCTGAATCAATTTAACTAATTCCCTTGTGATTTATGAATTATTTAGATATTACTGAATTGATTGACTGGCTTGAAGTAAAGAGTGAAGACAGGAGAAAGTAAGGGGAAAGAGAGCAAAACGCAGAAATAAAAAATAGAACGAGGCAGAAAAGAGCGAAAAAAAATAGATATCAAACAAAATGAAAAAGAAATGAGAAGAAAATTGAAGAAACCAGAACAATGGCGATGAGGAGAAATTAATTAAAATCGAATAAGAGAGACAATGAAAGAAAGGGAATTAAAAAGTCGAGGAAGTGTAAAGAATTAAAGAAAGGATACGATAAGGGACAAAATAATACAAGAGAAATAGAGCAAATTGAAGGTAAACTGTATATTATATTTAAATTAAATTTTACTTTGAAAAGAGGATGAAAAAGGATGAAAAGAGGATAAATATATAATATCCTGCCACGCAAAGTCGGATATATATCATATATATATTTACGAATTACATGTATATATATTATTAAAATTATTTCGTCCAATATTTTTTATATGTACTTTATTTATTTTTAACATCATTTTCTCTCTCTCTCTCTCTCTGTCTCCTCCATCTTTGTGCTCGTCTCATCTGCAGCAACAAAAAATCCTAAAACGTTCAGCGGACGATGTTGACAATGGCCCCGACAACTTTGAACCGCCGCACAAGTTTCCCAATAACAACAACAACAACAACAATAACAACAGCAGCAATAATAACAACAATAATAGCAGCAGCAACAACAACAATAACAACAACAGCAGCAGCTCTAGCGGCGTCGGCGGCGGCGGCTCAGAGAATCTAACAAAATTCTCTGTGGAAATCGTCCAGCAACTGGAGTTCACCACCTCGGCGGCCAATTCGCAGCCGCAGCAGATTAGCACGAATGTCACAGTGAAGGCGCTGACCAACACCTCTGTCAAGAGCGAACCGGGTGTCGACCAGCAACAGCAGCAGCAGCAGCAGCAACAACATCAGCAACATCAACAACATCAGCAGCATCAGCAGCATCAACAGCAGCAACACCATCAGCAGCAGCAGCAGCAGCAACAAGGCGGCGGTCTGGGTGGCCTTGGAAATAATGGGCGTGGCGGCGGGGGTCCTGGCGGCGGCGGCGCCGGCATGCCCACAGGACCCGGCGGCGTCGGAATGGTGCCCAACATGATGTCGGCCCAGCAGAAATCCGCCCTGGGCAACTTGGCCAATTTGGTCGAGTGCAAGCGAGAGCCGGACCACGATTTTCCCGACTTGGGCTCGTTGGACAAGGATGGCGCGAATGGACAATTTCCGGGCTTTCCCGAGCTGCTGGGCGATGACAACTCTGAGAACAATGACACCTTCAAGGATCTCATCAACAATCTGCAGGACTTCAATCCCAGTTTCCTCGACGGTTTTGAGGAGAAGCAGCTGCTCGATATCAAAACGGAGGATGGCATCAAAGTGGAGCCGCCCAACGCGCAGGATCTGATCAACAGCTTGAACGTGAAGAGCGAGTCGGGCTTGGGTCATGGCTTTGGCGGTTTCGGTGTTGGACTTGGTCTCGATCCGCAGTCGATGAAAATGCGACCAGGCGTTGGTTTTCCCAACGGCAACAACAACGCAGGCAACAACAACCCCGCAGCTGGCGGCAACACCGGGCCGGGTGGTCTCATGTCGGAGCACTCGCTGGCGGCGCAGACGCTGAAGCAGATGGCCGAGCAGCATCAGCACAAGAGCGCGATGGGCGGCATGGCCGGCTTTCCACGCCCACCCCACAGCATGCAGCAGCAGCAACAGCAACAACAACAGCAGCAACAGCAGCAGCCGCAGCAGCAGCAGCATGGCCAGATGCGCTACAATGACTATGGCGGCGGCTTTACCAATGACTTTTCGATGGGTCCGAATCCTGGGCAGCAGCAACAGCAGCAGCCACAGCAACAGCAGCCGCAGCAGCAGCAACACTTGCCGCCGCAGTTCCATCAAAAGGCGCCGGGCGGCGGTGTCAATGTGCAGCAGAACTTTTTGGATATCAAGCAGGAGCTCTTCTATTCCTCACAAAACGATTTCGATCTCAAGCGGCTGCAACAGCAGCAGGCAATGCAACAGCAACAGCAGCAGCACCATGCACAGCAGCAACAGCAACAACATCCCAATGGTCCCAAAATGGGTGTACCCATGGGCGGAGCGGGCAACTTTGCGAAGCAGCAGCAGCAGCAACAGGTGCCGACGCCGCAGCAGCAGCAACAGTTGCAGCAGCAACAGCAACAATACTCGCCATTCAGCAATCAAAACGCCAACGCCAACTTCCTCAACTGCCCGCCTCGCGGCGGCCCCCAAGGCAATCAGGCGCCGCCGCAGCAGCAGCAGCAACAACAGCAGCAGCAGCAGCCGCCACGCGGTCCGCAGTCCAATGCCAATGCGGGTAATGCAGGCAATGCAACGCAGCAGCAACAGCAACAACAACAACAGCAGCAGCAGCAGGCCACAACTACAACGCTGCAAATGAAGCAAACGCAGCAGTTGCACATCAGTCAACAAGGCGGCGGCTCGCACGGCATCCAGGTGAGTGTAATCCAAATACACAGACATAAATACATATAAACACCCCACCTGCTTAGCCAGCAATATATAACTACTTAATACCTTTGACACGCATGTAAATTTCCCATGCATATTTAAGTTAACAGCGTAACGAAGTCAACAGCTTTGACGAACAGGCAAGAAACAAACGAAAAAAAAAAGGAAATCCCAGCAGCGACGCCAACGTCGACTGCGCTGCTCTCGCGCCAAGTGTAAAGTTTCAAGCATAAGCACTCACTCAATTGACATACAAAAGTCAGTGGAGCTAGACGCTCGCCAGCCACTCAGCTTTCGGGGGTTGCTTTGACTCTGTGTGTGAAATGCACTCAAGTTTCACTCACAAATACACTCACTCGCTCGCGCGCTCTCTTTCACTCACTCTTGCGCTCTCAGCGTGTGGGCCACGCTGGTGCATAGCCCTCCCTTAAGCTGTTTAAGTTTATCTCTGTCCATTAATTTTACCACACATCTGTTCATAAAATTGTCAGTCGAACTGGCGCTCGGCTTCAGTTTGTTGCTCGTGTCCCGTCGGGCAGCAGCGGCGGCAGCACCAGCAGCGTCAGCCGGATCTGCGCCAGCGCTTGAGCAAGGGCTGCAGCCATGTGCGCCATTTTCATTACGTGCTAACAGTGAAAATAAAACATTAATAGTTCTGCTTTCTGCTTGCTGCTTGCTGCTGCTGTTGCTCCATTTTTGCTGTTGCTGGCTAGCAAAAAGATGATAGAGTAGTTGTTGGTCAGCTCGTCCTTTCGTTGACTTCGTTCCGTCAGCCAGCCCCGCCGCTCCAGCCCATGCAGACTCTCATTTCCGTTGGCAATTGGCCCTGCAGGCGTGCCAAATTGTAGTTAATCGCTTTGAATACCTGTGCCGCACTCCTCTATGAATAAAATATGTAATTACTGATACACAATCTTTATGATTGCGTACCCACAGCGAAGCATAGGTACTTCAGCGATTCATTTAATGGGTACACTCAGATATTCACTTGAAGTGTACCATATTGATACCTATTGATTAGCACCTAACTGAATTCCATATTCGACTATATTCTGTTGCGTTCCTATTGGAATATATCCGCTTGGTTACTAATGAACGCTATGAATGATTATTTTTTCAGGATATATGCAAAGTAAATATGTATGAATTTACTCTCTAACATTTAAAATATGCTTTTTTTTGACTATATACAAATGCACTTATGAGTGTATTCAAATCATTTTCACGGCTTTATTTACTATTCACTTCGACACATATTACAAATACATCAAGCTTTAAATATTTATAAATTCATTCATAAGTATATTCGATTTAATCAGGTACTCATAAGTGTATTCGATTCAATCAGTGACTCATGAGTCTTTGCGAATATGAACAGCTTTAGTCTGTTTCTGGCTTACTTATGACTTTGTTTAATTTTTCAATTGAGTATTAGACCTGCATCTATGAATGTACTCACATTTAATTATTATATATTCTCGAACCTGTTCTACCTGCGTATTGGCTGGATCAACACTTCACTTATTATTGTTGCACTCAGAGAGTATTCACTTATTCATACCAATATTAATTGAAATGAAAAAAATAACATTCACATTATTCGACTACTATTTGTATTCGGTTAGCGTAGTGAATACTTGCATTCACTATTAATTTCGCTTCATTCTCCTGCTATGCACAGTTTGCCTTTCCCCAGTGATTCAATCCACTTACGTTTAACTTTTCAAAGATATGCAGCCGCAACCGCAAGCCGTATTCAAATCGTCTAATGTTATTCACACGGCTTTATTCACAAGTATCTTAATGCATATTTCCAGCAGTGCAAACATCTTTTGTCTGCACTTTATGCAGGACCTCATTTTTCGGACTGACTACGCCACTCTCTCGCCCTTCTTTCCTCCACTCACTCTCCTCTCTCTCTCGTTCTCTCACTCGCTTCCTCTTTTTCGAGAGTCTCATTACAGCAGCTCTTCACTCAAATGATATTCTTATATTCAGCCATGGCACATGCCCTACCTAACCCATATTCATTATCCGTTCCAAATTGTTTTCCTGTTATTTCATAGCACAGCTACAGCAACAACAACAACAACATTTCATTTACAAAATGAAAGTGCAAAACTTTTTAAGTTTCATGTCGCTGAGTAGTTTTCATCAGAAAAGAGCCAAAAAAACGAGGAGCGAACAACTCGTTGGGTGCTCAAATTGTTGTTGCTGATGTTATAGTTGTTGCTGTTATCGTTGTTGTTGTTGTTGTTGCTTTTGGCTTTGCCATTGCGAAAGGACACGGCTGAAATTTCCGTTCTGCGCTTTGGCCTGTCCGAGGCACAGGATTCGAGTCTCTGGTCCAAGCTCAAGTTTTCCCATGAATTTTGTTCATGCATTACGAAGCTCACTGAACTAGTCCCCCCTCGGCTTCGCATTCTCCCATTCTCCGGTCAGCATCCCCTGCATGCACAGAGAAATAGTTGTGCAAGTGGAGAGCCAAGCGAAGCAGATTGGCAAAAACTTGTTGACGATTGAGATTGAAATTTGGTTTAGTTGAAGACCTGGACCCTCTGGACAGCCCCGAGCCCAAATTGTTGAGCTGCTGAACATTAGCGTCCAGCTGAGGCGGATGAGGGGGTATTTTGAAACCCCTCCCATTGACTTGAGGGAAAGGCTGCTTCTTATCTTCTGGTCGAATGAAACGCTCAAGTCAACACGTATACACACTTGGGTATAACGATATATTTGCATAGGACTCATTAAGAGCCCACGAATAGCCCCGGGCAACCCCCAAAAAACAAAGCACTTGGACAGGGGTAGCAGGATTCACAATAAGAAGAGCCCAGAATGAATACGAAAAAAAAGAAAGAAAACACTCGAGTGCAAGAAATGAACACGCAGCGTGTAAAATGTAAAATGTACAATAAATATTACAACAAAGAGTGGCAAAGCCAACCACAGCAACGAAGAGTGATAGAAAGAGGACGAGAGACATACAGAGAGTGAGAGAGAGCGAGAATAAGAGGGATAGAGACAATAAAAAATAACACACAAATGAAATGAAAATAAATCTAGGTGGTAAATATTTGCCTAACGAGCTTTTTAGAGGTCCAAGCGCACAGCTGAGAGAGAAAGGGATGGGCAGAGACTGAGTGAGCGAGAGGCAGTGATACGAAGAGCGAAAAGGGTGCAAGTGCATAATAATGTCCAAAGAAATCTTAAATCATATGCAAAGAAAGCATAATGAATAAATGTAATTTAAATAACTGGCTTCAAACAGAATATTTTATGTCTCTCCATTGATATGCCGACTTTTCAATTATTTATGACAGCGCTTGACGTGTCTAATACTTGCCCAACTTTTGGTATAAGTTGCAAATATTTGCTCGTTAGCTTTTAGCTAAGCCAGACTTACTTTTTCATATTTTTTGAAATCTGAAAACAGATGAAATAACGAAGGAATTATGAACATAAACAGAAGTTGTGTAATTTTTAAATTGAAATATGATATGAACTGTTTGCCAGACTCTTTAAATACTAGTTCTCTCTCTATCTCACACTTTCATATCATCTACAACTCAACTACAATCAAATAGTTGTTTGATGTTGTCCAGTTGAATTATTTGTGTACTTAGGCATTTTAATACTCTACCAAGCATGACAAATATTACTTCAAATATAGTAGATAAGTCTCATGCTTACTATAGACAAAATATGGCTGTTATAATATAGACAAATATATAATTAACAAGACAATATTCATATCACTTAATTATTGATTTAATTTAAATGCATCTTGCAAATTCCCTAATCCAAAATTATATATGCTTATTTTTTGAAAATAATTCGTATAAAAATGTAGATAAGAATCATAAGAAATATCAGTTTTCTGTAGGGCATAACAGCTTCCACTCTGCTCAGTTAATATGCTCTAACTGGCTAAGCTGATTCTCTGCCTCGCCCCTCGCCCATTCGCTCTGCTAACAGCTCGACGGCGCAGTTGGCGTCGATGTTAACGAAGCCACACGATGGCAACGACTGCGACAGCGATGTTGGCGTCGGTTTGGTGTTGGTGTTGTTGTCTTTGGCGTTGGGTCGTCGTGTAAAAGTTCAATGAATTCAGAATGTTCACATTTGCATGTCCTGCATTAACTCGTTAAAATGCCAGCTACAAACGGAACCCCAACAAAACACCAAAAACACAACAACAACAACATCAACTAGCAGAAAGAATTTGTATAAAATACAAATAATGCAGGACTTTATACACACATACATACATAGACTATTCGGGCATAAGAACAACATGAAAATGTTCGGGCTCACAAAAGTATGCAACGGAAATGTGCGAAACGTGAAAATGTGCGGAAATTATATTTTTGAAGGGGTGCAGCTGTGCGGGTGGGGAGGGTGTGGACTGCGTGGGAAGGGAGCTTACGCGCTGCTCCAGTGTTTAAAAGAGTGCCTGATTTTTACGACACTCGCCGCAGTCGACTTAATGAAGTTGCGAGCTGCAAAAGATTTGAGAGCTTCCGCGGCCGAAGACAACAAAACGGCAAATGGCAAATGGGAAAATGGGAAAATGGCCCTTATAATGCTTTGCTGTGCTGTATCATCGGGGGCAATAAATAATTTATAACCATATAACGTAACAGATCTAAAGACCGAAAAAAAAGAAATGAAATGAAAGGAAAAGCAACAGCAACAAGAAAATGTCCAACTCAAGAATTGAGTACAAAAGCCCCGCAAAACGAGTCAAAATGAATTGAGTCCAAGCTGAGACGAGACAAGGTGCGAGGCGACGCGACGGGAAAGTCGAACCGAGATTCGTTTGCGCCGGCGCCAAGGCAGGAAGACGAAGTGGGTACAACGGTGACACAGCCGAAATGACTAGGCACATATCCTAGAAAAAGGCAAAGATTTTATGTGGAAGAATAGAATTTTAGAGGGAGAAGCAAAATGAATGAAAGGGGTAACTAAAAGGTCGACTTTTGATT